TTATAGCCACGGCCAGAAAAGTACAACGGAATCCTTTGCTTTTTGCTACTCCGCGATCATTTTTCTGACAGTAGACTCGGGAGATATTTTTAACGCAGCCTAAACAATTTGAGATTACGTAAATTTGTTAGATCTTCGTTTTGTAATTTTGCTGTTTAAATTCTAAATCAACCGAAGATGCCAGTTCGTTGTGAACAACAGTGGTCCTAAACAAAAATTTAGCAGGTCGAATGGTTATAAAGAAATTTCCTTTATTTTTCAAAGAACTATGATCACCTTGTTATTTTCCATTAAAGATTTGTTCCATGCATTTTCGTGCTCCTTAGTTAGACCCTTTTGTATCATGAATCTCAGCTTGCTTGCGGAACATACAGGAAGTATTTAGTGATTTCAACGCGAATTTACACCCCACGGTTCACCGACTACTGAAGTGCCTGTCTACTACACACATACAGGGTGTTTCGTTTAACTGGAAACGGTGGAATATCTCACGAAGGATTAAAGTTATCAAAAAAATGTTCATACAAAAGTTGTTTGGTACAAATGGGGACCTTACGTGGTTTAAATAATTTTTCTATAAGTATACTAGTGGGGGAGATATCAAAGTCAAATTAATTTTTTTAAATGGAACCCTGTATTTTTTTATTCATATTATGATAGTGTTTGTTGAGACGAATACAACGAACTGCCACATGATATCATTCCCTGTAGTCGGAAGTGATAAATTAGTAAGATTTTAAGAAGTCGGTTCAACGCAAATCGCCTAGTTGAACCCTACGTGACGAAATAGAAACAAACGATGAAACAAATGAAAACTGTACCTGTTTTCTTTTCAACAAAGAAATGGCCAACACTCTTAAACTGACTGTTATTTTCAGTGTACTTACAGAATTTTCAGTACACTTACAGAAAAATTATTTATACCACGTAATGTCCCCCTTTGTACCAAACAACTTTTGTACGAACATTTGTTTGATAACTTTAATCCTTCGTGAGATATTCCACCGTTTCCAGTTAAACGAAACACCCTGTATGTAATCGAAATATGGGATGTTCGTTTTATGGTTACTATAAATAGGTTTGTTTATTTTAATTCTCTGAAAGAGCATTTTAGGGCGTACAAGAAATGTAGGACTGGAAGATCATAATGTAAAGTACTTTAAACAAAGCGTTCTTTACAATTTACACGTTACAGACGAAACATCGCACATCCCCGGTTGGCCAACATAAATCTGCAGCCGCATTGATATCATCTTGAGGAAAAAAAATTAGGCTCAGAATGCCAGTTTCTAAAGCAAACACGACGAAGGGTGTTTGCCGGTGAAACGGAATAGAACTAGTCATTACGTAAGCGGGAAAGAGGTTAAATCTGTGCCCGCCAGATTAAAGACTATCGAAACCATCCTCTGAAATTATCCTACGTAACACTGATTTAGATGTGAGAAACTCCGAAGAAATTTTTCCTTTCGTGTGTTGTCGTTGATTGAAATATTCCAAATTTTTCGTACGTACGTGTTATCTACTAACAATATAATATATGTAAACATTAATATGAATTGCTACCTTAGTAAACATGATGGGTAAAATATTACATAATTTCTTCATAGGGTTCTGTTTCACTTGAATACGATTTCAAATGTGAAACATTTAATAAATTCCTTCGACCAAAATATTTACAAAAATTTCGTAGTTAAAATACATTTCATAATTTATATTAAGCAATTTCGAACCCTCATTTGTTTTTCTTACAAAAATCTACCCCTCGTTTACAAAATTTTGATTTAAACGACACATCAATTAGGTGTTTTGCTGTTTGTATATGTAAATAAAATTATATTATTCGCGTTAATTAAATTTTTGGTAAGACTAGTGCTGAGTCAGTTCCCCCTGCACAAAGAGTTACACAACTTCCTACACACAAAGCAGCAAAAATATTCGTTCATTTTCCAAAAAGACAGTTTTCACACGTTTTTCAAAAGATATCTTTACATAAAGGTCTGGGTTACCGCTTTTTATACTATCAACCAGGATGCAGCTATTAAAAGAACCGTGGTAATTAGTGGTGAAACTAATAATATGACGCATTTAACCACAGAATATGAATATCAGGTTGCTGCTATCAGTTGCCGGCCTCCCTTCGTTTTAAGATGAAATCCCGCGTATCTTAATTGTTAAACTCTGTGAACTCCTTGTATAGATAGATATTATCTGAGATCTCGTATAACCCAGGTAAAGCGAAACTCTTATTTCATGTAGTTGTGTTATCTTATCAGCACTCACGAGGATAACGAAGAATGTGAAACTGTTTTTTTGGTAGGGAGGGAGGGATGGGGGTGAGAAACTCCAAGACTCAATCACCTCCTATCATTTAGACGGTTGTTTAACGAGTAAAACTCATAAAGTTATTATGCAATACAAGTGTTTCACACAAGAAATCAGTCCGATAACGATACCAGGAAGTATACATATAGCTTGAGAAAATGAAGAGTAGAACAAATGTAATAATAGCTAGATCTAAATAAATTTACGAATGCAGCTATGATTTAAATTTCTATCTATATACTGATAAAAGTATTTATCACGTAATATGTGATTTTGTCCAATATACATATTATAATGATTTCCTATTACAGATGTTACGGATTTTCTTTAAAATGATGATACAATACATGTGCGGAGAAATGAGTATTTTATACGTTTCTGTTCACGAAATAATCGTTGTTTTTGCATAATTTCATTGTCTTCGTTGCTCTTGTGCATATAAAGTTACGATGGCATGTTTTTCCGTAAAATAAACATTTCATGAAATATTTCATGCTCTAGTTTATTGAACGATTGTAGCGAAAATGTCAATCAAGAATATTCGCACATGTGTTACGGTTTCAGATTGATATACGGTATATTGATCATTGATGATCTGCAATGATTTCGAGTAAACATTTTACGACTTGGAATCAGCAGATTAGATAAACCTTACTGACCTACAGCGAACTGGCTTTATTACCTTCATACTAAATATTTCTGTTATTATTTCAATGAAGTAGGAATGTAGCAAACGTTGTACAACTTTTTTTCTTGTGTGCTTGACCGTAGAACATAATGTTAAAGTTAAAACGTTTAATTTAGAGACATTTTGTATATTGAAAAGGAAATTTTTAATTATAAAGTAATAAGTGAGTCTAGTATACGTTTTAATTTGACAAATCTGAATACTTGCTTTTATTGCATTATATCTGTACAGTTATATGTTATAATTCCATAATTTTCAACATTCATTCATAAAATCCACGGTCATAAGTTACAAATGTTAATGATATAAATATAGCAATGTCTTCAACCTCGGCTAAAAGTGGGAGAGAGGAATTATTAATATGTAAATCCAGTCGGCCGATATACCGTATCAGTCAGCTGTACAAATTGAAATATCTTGATTTTAGATTTTTTTTTATACCTAGGAAATATATTCTAGGCTCTTTAAAATAATACACGTGTCTGGCTTTCTTTGATTAAAGAGACTGAAAGTACAAGTTGTTGGCACACATTTAATTAGGTTCGTTGATCCTTAGATAAGAAACAGCTGCGACAGAAAACTTCGTATATCATCATAGCCAAGAACGAAAACAGAAAATCAATGTGAACATTTTGTTCAGATCGTTACATGTTCTCTCGGTGCTGTATTATTATTCACATTTTTCCAAGAATCATCAGAAAACCGAATATGTCTTTTGGTAAATGTTTTGCTTGAAAACAAGGAAATCGATTATTTCATCATTTATAGAGTATGTAAAAGAAATAATCAAGAAAAACTTGATATGTATGTAAAAGATGACATTTTGTAACGTGAAAATAAAGTTTATGTGTAAAACTTTTTTTAATAATTATTTTGACATACTGTAAGGCAAGAAAACAATGAATTATAACAATTCTTATACGACTGTGTTATCTTGAACATTTTTACAAACTTAAAGTAAAAAGTGGAATATAACATATTAATAATCTGTAAACAATCTTCTTACGTACATACTTACAGAAGTGTCTTTCACTGTATGTTTTATTGAATATAATTTGAAATGAACGGAAATCTTTAATATCGTTTCAGATACTCTAAATGTAGCGAAAAAATAAAAATTTGATTTTATTTTATTGATAGTACACATAATGTAATTAAAACAACATTGAACATTACTTTACAACAAAGTGAAGTGAAACAAGTTTCTTTGCCTTTATCTGTTCATGTTATCATCTGCAGTGTCATCAATGTTTAATTATTGCGCAATGAAATTACTGAACATGAAGTACTTCTGATTTTTGTCTATGTTTCTTTACGACGGGTAACTTTTGAATCTACGTCTTAAACTCAACTAATTAGCTGATCTTGCAATGCTGCAAAATAAAATTTCATGCACGCATAACTATTTACAAATTACGTTTGAAATTCTAGATAAAATCTAAACATTGTAACATGTTGCAAGATTGCATTATAATCATTATATAATGACTCTTGGTGCCTTGCGTTTGCAACAAATTGCATAATACCCATTCACGTTGGGTAACTACAAATAATTGGCAATTATTCATAATAATTTCCGTGAGTAGATGAAAGTAAAATGTGCAAGTATAAAATACAAAAATATATATTTATAAAGTATAGATGCATAATTTAATAATAGCAGTTCCAAAATATTTGTAACAAGAAAATTACCAATTTTATTAACGAAAAGAAAACATACAAAGTATGCCCATATACCAGGATGTATATTTTTGTTCAATAATTAGAATTAATCAATATTACGATGTATTATGTTAATAGCGAAAATGGTCAGTGGTCAGAATTAAAAGTTTATTATGGGCCACGAATGGATCGCTCGACACGGAGTCTTTTAAAATTTAAAGTAAGGATGTCCATTTAAATTCAACCGCCTTCACGAGTCACGTGGTTGAATCAACGGAACACGGAGCACATGCAGGGCGAGACGGCGCATGCGCAGTTCGGAATACCGACGAATTATTACGGAATGGTCGATATGTCGCGTGTGCCTGTTTTAGCAATTTTGGGTTCTACGGGTTGCGGAAAATCTCGTCTGAGCATAGAATTGGCTAGAAGATTTTTTGGAGAAATTATTTCGGCCGACAGCATGCAGGTAAGTGATAAAATAATGTTTCATTCCGTTATAAACTCTGGCCTCGTTTTTGTAGGTTAGGTGCATGTTCAAAAAGTTGTTTATTACCGGCTGTTTCGAAACTGTTCCCTTTATTTCAACTTAAAATAGGCAGATTTTAATTTTCTTCGATAGAATTAACTTACTTATTATCGAATATGAATTATCTGGTTCACAAAAAATATTTTACCTGTAAAGATGTAGATAGGTTAAATCCTTTGAATGGTGTTTTCTTCATTCATACTCAGACCTGTTTATGTTTTAGTATGGTAATTTTGGAGTTGTTATTTGAATGCATAATATTTTACGCTAGTATCGCAATCCTGTTAGCGCAATCCTTGATGTTAAAGAAAATTTTATAACAGTTTAAAGGTGTATAGTGGTTGATGTTGAAATATCGTAACATTTTACGTTCATTACGTAATTTTCATTTGTTTTAGATTTTTGTAACTGTTACATTCGATTAATAGAGTATATTTTGGATTAACATTGTTATTATTATTACTTCAAACTTATATTGAACTAGCTATATACAACGATTTAGATATACGTGAATATACTCGGTTTTTTAAAATATTAGCAATTATTCAAAAATATGTTTTTGAATACTCAGTTCTTCTCTTATCTCTGTACAGAGAAACTTCATTTGACATGGCCATTTTTTGAACGATTTATTCAATTGAGTATAAAGAAACGATGTATTAAATTACGGCTAACTATTACTAACTATTACAACCCATTTTAAATAATTGTCCCGTTAAAAATCGTCATCTGTTTTCATGTTTTTCTACTTTTATCGATTATTTGAAGGCAAAGAATTTCAGATATTGAAACAGGAAATAGACGGGCATTTATTTTGTGTATGCAAAATCTGAAACTGGTCAATTAATTAATTCTTCGTATGTCAAAACGTCTTATAGACGGATACAGTTTCATGCAGACCGATTTCGACGAAAAATTTGGAACATTTCAACCAAGGAAATCTCGGATTTGAAGAATCTCTGACATTCTTAAAAATCCTTGGACCAGTGATCCCTCTTGAACAGCTTCAAAGCAGTTTGTACTGCGCAATGTACCCATGCATCGAATTACTAATGCAGCACAAAAATTTTTACGAGTGAATTCCTGAAATTTTAGTACTGAACATAAATCTAAACACGACGGAGATCATGCTTACGTAGCCACGTTTTTATTATTGAGGGAAAAAAATTTTGTTTCGGACCGTAAATCTCTTATTCTGAGCATTTACAATGTTGTCTTCGCCAGTGGATCGACGATTGTATCTTATAGTCTGGGTTCTCCCAAATATAATAACCACAGAAGTAGCGAGGGCTAATTGTACTAATTCGTGTCCTGTGTGAAGAAAAAGTTACATTTTTCCATTGTATCAACAGATACTATCATTATTCGGTATTGTGCTTGAAGTATTAACCTACTACCCCATTACTGTTCTGTTTTGTTTACTCTCAATGTGACAAATTTTTTGTCCTCTTCGGATAGCAGACGAGTGGAAAGTCCAGAGTTAGCAACAAAATATCGGTATACAATAAGGAAAGATTCCAAGCCTCGAAATTCTGGACTGACCGGGTCGGAATTTTTCGAGATTTTCGAGGTAATACTGTATTTTTGCATACAAACCAGCCCAAAGACGTATTATTCTAGGAAAATTTAATTTGTCCAGTATTTCTGTTGTTTGAATAATTTTGTACATCAGGATTGTCTTCAGAATTACGTAATGTAGAGTTTCCGGGCAACCTCATCGCTCTATGTTAGTTTCTTTAGAGTCGTAAATTTTAATGCGGCTGTATTTAGGGAGCTTCCAGTTAATCGCTCTAATTATTCTGCCCGTCCACATATCTAAAGTAACGATGAGGGACGTTTAATTACACGTCTGTGACATTAAGGCGACCGAAATTCGTCGGAAATGACGTGTCCGTAATTATTTTCCTACCGCTTTGTCGCTCATCTTGATACGCGTCATCTTTGCGTCACGCGTGTTCGCCGACAAAAATGCACATTTCACTTGGGAAAATTAAGTTGTTAAAGGTGTTTTAATAAGAACCGTCTAAGTTCAATTTCTCTAATTACCACAATAGAGTTTATTCCGCTATGTGGTAGGCACAGAGTTCTATTAGGTTTTGAAATATCGGGAATTAATTTCTAAAATAGTCGTAAATATAAAAATTGTGATTTCAACAATGGATTTTTAGTTTACCAAATTTTATTACTTTTAGTGTATAGACAGAAATTGTATCAAGTTTTTTAAGTTCTCTACTTTTCAAGTCAGTAAATTTTTTTGGAGATACTGTTAATGTTATCCTTGAAGTTGTTTTTGTTGTAGTGTAATTTATATATACTCGCTATCGGTGAGCAATTACTATTAGTGGTGACAGACAAAAATGATAATAACTGGGAAATAAGTTTAGTCTTCGAAATGTGTTACGAAATGGTTAACAAACTCAATTGGTTGATAGTGTAAGGTAATTAATTATAATGTTATGAATGGTAAGGGATAAAACATTTAATCTCTTCAGGGACGAATTTATTAAGAACAGAAAGAATATTTTTTTTATTCTTCGGCTGTATTTAATTAAAATATAGATGTTTATAAATATTCAGGACAATCAATTGATAGAATATTTTTTTTCTAAAAACTAAACGTACACATATGTGCCAGTATCCTTCAAGAGTTTAACAGTCCATTTTTCCGCTTTGAACATTGATACATCTTTTTGTTTACAATTTTTATTTATAAGCATAAACAATGAGGTTTGGATGCGGATATCCTAGCACACGTTGCAAAAGTTACTTTGGAACGGCTTAAAAAACGGTACAACGACAGAAATTCGAATGCCGTTCGAACATCGCAAGCAATCTTTCCAAGTGGGTATATTAATTTCAACGAACTCTTTAAACGCTTCTTGAGAACCCGCATTGTAAGAATCCATCCGGAAGATAAATTAAGTTACGTAAACCGTTTCATCAATTGATGCGTTACTTTACATACTTATATACATCTTCTGCATTAATGAACGGCCTGCCCCGACTTATCTCCAACATTATTAATATATACGAACGAGTTTTATTATCTTACATTGTAGAAGCGAACTGTTTAAATGCAAAGCAGTAAAACACGTATGATAATCATTACAAAGTAAGGTGATTGAATTAAATTTCGTCCCCTTGAGTGCGGTGTTGGTCGGAGAATCGTGGGATTTCCGGTTCTTTTTCGGCCCTTGAATTAATAATGTAACCGACATCGTATCCTCCGTTTCGTCGAAGAAAGTGAAACTTCTTCGAATACATTAACAGTTCCAGAATTTTCTTTGGTTTTCATAATTTCTTCCCTCTTTATTTATACAGATGTTTATATCGATACTGTCATTCGTATAAATGAAGTGCAAACTTTGTTTATAAGAGTTGATCCACTTGACACGATATTAGGATAATCAAACGATATTACAATACAGTAGAACTCCACGTATTTGAACTCCTTAGGGTACAGACAGTTCATATAATCGGGCCGTTCAAATAAAATAGGAATCCACCTATTCTCCCCACTCTCCACAACTGTTCGTTCAAATAATAGGAGTTCGCGTTCAAATAAGTAGATTCAATCGCACATTCACACAAATACACGTTTTTTCTGCTTATACCAATTTTGAATACTATGTTCAGAAAATGATTAATTTATTAATTATTTAGTAGATACAAAAATTACTGCAAAATTTATATAAAAACATTTCTTTTGTTTTTATTCATGCCATTTATTGCCGCTTCCACTTGATATTTCATTATTTCTTGTTTGTTCTTTTTTATATAACACATTTTTGGTTTTGCACTATTATATTCTTTAGATAGAGCAGTTTCCGACTCACCATTTTTAATCCCTTTAGTTATTGGACTTTTTCTTCAACAGTAAGCATATTTCTGTTTTTATGCATCGAATTGGAAGCCATCTCGAGATACTATGACAGAATGCACAAAATTCGTTACGTGACTAACGAAATGCATATACTGAGCGTAGAGTATGATTCTGTTTTGTTTCTTGCATTCTAAAGACATTCAAATAATTGAAGTGACGCTCGGGCGTCGTTCGGATAAAAATTTCGATGAATTAAATGGAGTTCAGATACGCGGAGTTCTACTGTAATAAGTATCTGTTATTAGTTTATTTTATTCGGGTTTTTATTTTGTACTCTGTGTTTTTCTTGTAAGAATAGAACAATTTCATACAAAGTTTTATTTTCGTTTTCTTACCGACTTAAGAATTATTTCTAAAGCGACAAACGCTTCGGAATAATTCGAAATGTATATTATCTGAGCGTATGCTTCTTCCTTATTCATTTTTCTTCTACGACGTAGCATGTGTGTACATACTTTGGCAAAAACATGCATGTAAAAGCAAGAACAAATTGCTACGGTATATGATCTCCATTCATATCATTATGAACATTAACATTTTGCTATTAATATCAAATAGTTGTTAATAACGTCCGGTAACAGTTGCAATGCATTTAACCCTGCTATTCTCTTCATTTATTCTTCACGTTTGTATCCCTTCGAATAAAATTATTTCAAACTTCGAAATGATTTGTTTATAAGAAATGGGAAATACACAAAAAGTGGGCGTAAAATTGAAGTATTTACGTTGGATACTAAAAAAAAATATTTAAAAACACAATTCCTATTGAAATATGTATAATCCTCATTTCAAAAGAACAGCAGGATTCAAGGTGGACATTTTTTTTAAGATATGCATTTATCAGTTTTTATTTCACCATAGAAGTGTATCAGATGTTTTACTAAAATAGAAAATCTATCAAGCACCAAATATAGAAATCCACCTCATTTCCATGCTTTCCGTTCCTATGATGGTTTGTAGTCGCATCGACGCGTATATTTCTGCCTCTCCTTTTATCTTCTCGTCGGACGTAGATTCTGTTTTTAAACCGCACGTTCTCACGTGACATCGCTCTCGA